AGAGCAAGGCTGGAAACTGAGCCCACGCTTGCTTCCCAAGCAGGCTGATCAGGACTGTTTTTTCCAGCTAACAGACCGATGAGAAGCTGTATTTTCACACTCCTGTGCAATAAGCTTCTGTGTAGACAGCTCCCCCATGAACTCAAGGGTGTGTTTTCCAACAAGCAGAAAACAACAGGAAAATGCTGTTTTAATAATGTAGTATCTTTCTAGAATAAAGCAATGTTCTTCAGACACTGCATAATGCAGATTAGGTTGTAGAACTACTACAGATCTGTACCTGAACTGCAGTAGTTTTTACCTGGTTAGAGTTCATTTGTTACTTTGTGGGATTTCATGGTGTGTTTCTTTTTCTTTGTCAAGGGATTGTGATCTCCATCTATGTATGGAGGTTGTAAATGTTGCCTATTATGGAAAAATATGAACTGTTCTAATTTTACTGAAGAAAATACAACTTCTTTTTTTTTTTTTAGTAGCTACATTAAAATGTTGTCCTTTCAATTGGGTGGTAATAGGCTGCATATAAACAGTTTGTCCTCCACATTCATCATTCATCCTCCTTCTGTTTATTCTTTACTCTCTTCAAAATAGAAGCTGGTTTCCCTTTTCCAGCATTTTGCAGTTGTCAGGAGCGTTGCTGATCAAAACAGAACACAGAACCGAGTGTTCATTGAGTGTCTTTTAACTTGCTACCCATGAAATAACTTCTCAAGCAAGGGATGTTGCATCTCGTTGTCTAACAGATACGCCCATTTGAAGGTAAGCAGTAATCAAAATTGCTGCTAGTTTTTTGGGTCTGCTTCACGTGCCCTCACCTCTAGCCTGTCTTAGTAAAAAGGGTCAGAGGTTTCAGAACAGTTTGGAGTAGGATGCAAAATGAGCTTGACCGCAGATGGATTTTGAATACAGCCCACAGTGACAGTGTTTACAAATTAGTTGCTTTCACTCGGATTTCTGTAGAAACACATTGGTTGTTTGACATAATAAACATGACAGAGTTTATGGTGTGAAGATGGAGCAGATAGTAGTAAGAGCAGAAATTGTTATTAACCATGTTTCCAGTTTGCCTTTTTAAGAGCTGTGCAGTAGACTTAAATGCACCAAAGACGAACTGTTCTTGGAAGCTTCAAGCCCAGCTCAGGATTTGAGTATATTAGTAAGACTTGTTTGTAAGGAGATTGATCTTCACGTTTTTAGAAATGAACCTTCCATTCTACATAAAGACGGGATTAAAAATGAACAAATTAGTACTATGTGTTGGTGGGATGATATTGAATCTCTGGTTGTTCTGATGATGGCACAGAAAATCAAGTTGTCGTTTTTTTTGTCAATCATGTTTGTTTTGTTTCTTTCTGAGCTTTCTGTTTTCTCGTTCTAATGCCTTTAGAAAATAAATGGTTATAATCACATAGAGGCTGAATGTATCGTTTGAATTGCTAAACTGTTGAATTCAGTAATTCTATGAAACTAAATGCCATGAAGCAGTTGCCAGCATGTTAGAAGTCTGAGCTGAGGCATGAGGCAATTTTTTCTCCCTCTTCCATATGTCTTAAAGGCCATCTTTGTAGGTTGAAAATGACTTCTGCGGTGTTGCCATAGGTCATGTTAACTGACTGCTGACTGGTAGCCTTTCCCTTTTGTGCCCCAGACACCCCTGGGTTGTCCACTTTACAATTCAGTGAATTGTTCACAAGTGTGAAGTGATTTTTCTTTGGTTGGGTCGAAGCCTGAAAAGGCAGGTATGTTTCTCTACCAAGAGGAGCACAGCTCCTAGCTCTGAAAGTAATGCTATGTATAAAGGCTGCTGTTTTACCTGTCATTCTAGAAAAGCATCTGCTTTCCTGAGTGTCTCTTTCAGATTTACTCTTTACTCTCTGGGAAAGGTGGAAGTTTGCAAAATTTTCTCAACTTTTCTTTGGACACCATAGAGTTTGTATTTACTTGAAAAGCTGCAGAGTTGGCAGAACTAACCTTGCCACAGCGTTAAGAGTTCAGACCTCATGTGGTAAGTGCCAGTCCATGGAAACGGAGCATTTAATCTCTCTTCTGACTCTTGTGTTATTTGCAAAGTTGGGACAGCCTGTGTTTCTTCAGCAGCATTCCGAGCAAGAATCAGTGTTGAGAACCAGCTTGTTGTTTTGATTCCTGTTTTTTTCCCCTTTCTTCTCCATGCCAGCAGTGCTCTAAAAGTGCTCTGCGGTGATTTTTATAGAACATGGTCTGCATAAAACATGCTAGCGGGGAGGAGCAGAGAAGTGAACATGATTTTTAAAATCAGAGTTCCGCCAATTATTTTTTTTTTTTTTCCAAAAGAAATTGAATACTCATTTGTTTTTAAAAGGGATGAACTCTGGATATCTTTCAATAATCAATCGGTTTACATCTGTGTACAAATGCAGTAAAACTTTAACACAACTGCAAGCAGGGCAGTATGATTTCCCTGCTGGGTGTTCGTAGCGAAAACAATGCAGCTGTACTTCAATCAGGACAACTCTGAAGCACAGAAGTGACAGTGAACACAGCGGTTAATGCGTTATCTGTATGCTGTTGCCCTACTGTGTGCATCAGTGGGGAAGAAATCTCTTGAAAGGGATGGGGAACTGGGATAATATTGATACTGATTGGATTAGACATTGTTCATGTCTGATCTTTAGTTAAGAAGCTGTTGAGTTCCTCTGATGTTGATTGGAGTTGATATTTCAGGCTCCTTTTTCCTTTGTAGCAGTATTAATGATGGCTTCAGTGTGGAAATGTCTAGTGGAAAATCTGTCTATTCGTATTCCTTAAAACATTTTGGGGAATATATATATTTAATTTTGTACGTAGACCTTTTATGGCTTTAATCTTAGGCTGGATATGGGACAGGTTTGGTGAAACAATATGCATAACTGAAAAATCCTGTCCCAAAGAACTTGTGACTTAAACAGAGCCCACTATCATCAAACTTTCCAAGTGTTCAGATGGTTTGGTACAGTGCCACTTAAAATAGACATAGTTATGGGGAAACAATGAGTTGCAGAGAAGAAAACAAGCACTTTGCATTCTAGATGTTTTTTCTGTTTTCAATAACTAACCTGTTGGGCTTGTGTGATATTGCTGGTGCTTTTAAAGATGACAGGGGAGGACGTGGCAAGTTAGGAAATGAGATGGAAGTGATACTGGGACTTCATTTCTTAATAAATAATTCTCTTCAAGCTGTGTAAACTTTTCTGAGTTATAAATGTTGTAGAGGAAAAATGCTTCACTGAAAATAAAACATACATGATAACAATTGTCTGTCTCTGTGCCGTCCGAGATCCTCCCCAAAACCTGCAGCTGAATTAAATTTTCCTTATTACTTTCATCAGTTCAGGCTTCCTTTAAAAAGAAAAACAAAGCCATCTCTTTCCTGACTTGGGGGGAAAAAGGCAGTGCAGAATGTTAATAAAAAGGTGGAGTTTTTAAGCATGTTTTTAATTTCATCTGAAGTTGAGTCGTAGGCTCCGACTGAGCCCTTGGCCTGCAGATAAATGCATAAAGTGTTGTCCTGGGTGTACTTTGCTTTGGCCCATGCAGTTCCAGGTGCTCTCCAGTGCGCTTGTAGTTGGAGCCAGAGGTCAGGAGCAATAGCATGGGATCAGGCTGCCAGCATAGCAGACCTGCAACTCAGAACTTGTACAAACTCTCGTCTTTTTTAAAGGATCAGAGGAACTGAATGTAAAAGACATATGAAAGTTAGCTCTTGATATTATTATATACAGTAATGTGGAATTGAAACTGGGGGTATTTATATCACAGGCTTGAAATAATAGACAAAATAACATCTGTCATTGCTGCTCTGTGTGTTGTTCCTTGATATGAGTGGCAAGTTTATGGACCTCTGCTGGTTGTGCATTGGAAGCAAAAGCATGAAGTGAAATGATGAAGCTAGAAGTCAACAGTTGACCAGCATAGACCTCTGCCAGCTGTTGTTTGAGACAGAAGAACTGGAAGAAGGGATGGGGAGAGTACTGGGTTTCAAGGTAGCCAAAGTAGGGGCAAATGAGAATAGTTCTTCATTTGATGACAGATCGCTACCAGACTTGGTCAGTCTGAGGAGAAGCTGAGGGAGCTCCGTTACTTCCAGCAGTTAATGACTTCTTATGGAATGTTGGTCTTCTCCTAACCTGCAAGTAGTGTTTGCAGCCGTGACAGGGATGGTAGCACCATTGTACTTGGCTGCTGTCTCCTGAGCCATATCTGAAGATAAGCAATTTTCTGTTTTATTGCTGGATGAATAAGAAAGACTTTACTTTTGGGGGAGAGATGAAATAGTTAATTTGACCATCAGTCTGACTGGCATGGTTGGGAAAGCATGTTCTGCAATATGGCTACTTAACGTCCTCTTCTGGAAGGAGCAGTGGGACTGAATCATGCCTTTGTCCCATCTGTAGTGGGTCCTTCAGAGGACACTTAAGCTTTCCCTTTCCTGGAGTTTTGTAACCTGGCTTTTTAGAATTTGTCCTAAACCTGGGTTTACAGATTGATCTGCGTGGGAGTTGGAGTATTCATGATGACATTGGAGGGTGTGAGTACAATAGCAAAGAGTTTTTTTTTTTTTTTTTCTGAACTGGCAAGGTATTTCCTGTATTAATATTGGCATCTTGTCTATGTTAGTCTCAGCTGAATGCTTTTTCACCCACTTGCTAATATGTAAGAATGAGTTCTAGGTGAGTTTGGACTAAGCTATTGAAGGGCCTCAGTCCAAACCCTTCAGTTGTGTGAAGGGCCCTATTGTAGATAAGGAATTGGGCCCACTTGTCCCTCTGTCTTTTCTTGTACTCCTTTGTCTGACAAATAGAGGCAATAAGTTATGGACAGGGTGCATTTTTCTCTCACATGAAACTTCTGTGTTCCTCTTTCTGTACTGCCTTCCCTGACGATCTGGGAAAATACATCTTCCTCTGCAGTAGTCATACTTGGCACTTGAACATCTGTAGATGCTGCTAATGCTAATACGTTTTTGTTTTTCTCTTCTGTAGCATCTCCCTTCCTGCTTTTTGCCAACCGTCGGGACGTTCGACTCGTGGATGCTGGAGGCACGAAGCTGGAGTCCACTGTGGTGGTCAGTGGTTTAGAGGATGCTGCTGCGGTTGACTTCCAGTATTCGCAAGGCATCGTTTTCTGGACAGATGTGAGTGAAGAAGCCATCAAGCAAACCTACATTAACCAAACTGGGAATGTGGTGCAGAATGTCATCATTTCTGGTCTGGTTTCCCCGGATGGCCTGGCATGTGATTGGATTGGGAAAAAACTTTACTGGACAGACTCAGAAACCAATAGGATAGAAGTAGCTAATCTCAATGGAACATCCAGAAAAGTCCTCTTCTGGCAAGACCTTGATCAGCCCAGGGCAATAGCTTTGGATCCGGCTCATGGGTAAATATTAATTTGACTTAAATGCTTAAATGGGTACAGTCGTGATTTATGTTGGGTTTTCATTTCCGAAAGAGAAACATAGTCTTTTGTTTCAGTTTACTTTTTCCCAAGGTATTTTTCTCAAGATCTGTAGCTGAACATATGTTTAAACTTAAATATTTTGTGGTCAGAAAGGAGAGTCCTGGGCCAAAAAGAAAAATACAGCTGTTCCTAGGTGCCAAGTCAAATACTTGATCAGTATGATTGCCTAACTTATTGCATTTCAGAAGCACTATGGAATTAATTTTTCCAGCTTTCTTTATTATTATTCCCTCAGTTATCTTGTCTGGTAAATTCCTTATTTGGTATACGGTATTTAATGTGTCCAGTCAGCAAGGTGTGTAAATCCGTGTGTGTCAAAACAGAAATTATCTCTTGCTGTGCTCTGGTAAACACAACCAGGATATTTTTAAGTGGTGACTCGAACGGTTATGTTTGTGCTGGCAAGTGAAAGAACCCAGGTGAAATCAGGGGCTCTTCATGCTTTAAGATGACCAGGATAGGCAGTAAAAAGAGAAGAGGCTGGATTTGTTGCAATGACCAGTCAAGTGCTTGTAGTCCTGAAAATACTTGTGTCTCTGTATGGTTCATCTGTCCCTCCCTCTTCAATAACCCTCAGCCCTGCACATGCACTATTTGCTGTCCCTATGCACAAACAGTACTGATGTTCACTTTGTGCCCTGTATTCATTGCAGTGATGATTGAAGGGGTCCCTGCCCCTTGTGGAAATCATACTTTCGGCAGTGATGGACTGTGGGTAAGGGGAATAGCAAGGAGAAGCATTATGTTCACAAGCAAGGCTATTTGCTGTTTTTAGTTTGCTGCCCTTTTTTACAACTTTTTCTGAGGGTATTTATCTTCTTCTTCTGTATGGTCTGTGCCCTTAGGTTTCTCGTCTTCAGGACATCAGGTGACAATTTCATTGAGTCCATCCTCTTTGTAAAGGGATGCTGAGTTAATGCAAGGTCTTAGCATAAACCACAGACAGAAAGTAATTTTATTGCTTACTGGTAAAATGGAACTGACTGCTCTGGGAGACCAGCAGTCTCCGGAGAAATGAGCTTCTTCAGGTGTGTGAGAAGTGAATACTGAAACAGAGCAATGAAAGAGTGCAGCTTGGGATTGCCATGTCAGCAACTGCCACATGCTACAGACTGAAGCTTTGAGAAGTTATTTTTGCAGTGATCTTAGCATAAGGCTTTTCAGATGAATGGGAGGTGTTATGGGTACATTTATGATTAACATATGAGGGACACAAAAGAACTAAATGAAACTGTGTGCAGCCAAAGAAACACAATCCTTAGTTTTGTTGACATACCAAGTGCCAGAGCTGCCAGTGTTCTCCAGATAACTGATAGAAGGGGAAGTTATAATTGGTAAGAAGGAAAGTGGAGAGACTGTTTTGGACCACAGGACTTTCAGGAGAGACTTTGTTCTCTTAATGCTGACTTGACTTCTGCTACTGATGCCTTCAGGTGAAAGGAAGGAGAGAATTTACCTTCAGGGGTCAAGAAGTTCAGTAAAATATTGATTAAAAAATCTTCAAAACCTGAAATATGTAAAATTCTTCCCCTAGCAAATTGTATGCAAATATTTTAAGTAAATTAGCTGGAATCCTTTGTCTATCCTTACAGTAACTAATCTGTGCTTAGTTAACAGTGTACGCTAACTTTAAATGAGTTCAGTAGTATAATTTAAAGAGAGAATATGATGTTAAATTCAGTATTTTGTAATGAAGTAGATCAGAAATAGTGGAATGGCACTGTCCAGCAATACTAATGCCAGGCTGACATCTCATAAGTGGATCCAGTTCCTCACCTTTTGACTATTTTCTTTATAGTAGCCTACATGTTGGTCATGGAAATGCATTTCATGCCTTCTTAGGTGCTTTCTGACTGTTTTGAAAAACTGATGGCTTTAATTGGGGATTTCTGGTAACATTCCTCCTATATTACGGGAAATGCAAAATTAATCTTTTTAATAAAAACTGGATTAAAACAACTGGGAGAAAAAGTGTGGCTGGTACAGTCAAATGGAGAACTTTTATAAAAATCACTGGCATTGTTGGTGAAGCTGTAGTGTTCTGCAGATCTAGTCCTTGGTTGTGTTTGGAAGGAGGAGGCGGCACAGGTGTGGTTCATTTTGCATGACTTTGAAAGAAAGATCTCGGCGGCAGTACTCTGTTCAGAACAGATGTGCAGTATTTCTTAAGCATACACAAAATTCACAGAGTGTAACAATAGAGGACTTTGTTTCACACTTGCTTCCTGTTGCCTGGGAGTTGTACTGTGTCCAGTTTACAGCTCAATATTTTTTGGTTATAAGCCACATTGCAAGATTAAGAATACAGTGCCAGCATACAAGGAAGTTACCTGGCATTAGCTGCCTGCTGTGTGCTAGGCATCATACCTTGGGTTTGCATTTCTATGGGTCCCGTGGTAGCCTTCTCTTTCTTTCCTGGAGGACTTCTCCACTTCTAATTATCTTGCATTTAGTCCTCCAGAGAAAGTGTGCAGACATGAGCTGTGGAATGGGCTAATGTAAGGAACAACATTTATTTGCCAAAATGGTAGGTATCTGCAGGTGAACTGGTCACCTTGCAACATTTCGGTTTTGATTATCGTTATTACTTGAGGTGAGGAGAGAATGATAGTTCTTCTAAGTTTTACACAGATAATTTTTTCACTTGCTGGTGTGGCTTTGCTGAGCATTAGTTCAGTCTGTAGGGGATTTTTTTTTTTTCCCATTGGGAGCAGCAGCATTAAATGAAACACTTCCATTGGTTTTTAACTTGTGGCAGATATTTCTAATGTTTAGTCGGATTTAAGTATTAATCCAGTGCAACAAAGCAAAGTAAATTAAACCTTAAGCAGTCTGTGAAAATGAACATATATATATCTTTTATAATTAACCAATTCACCCCCATTAAGGTTTATAAAAATCAGCCTCCAAAGAGCTGCTGTTCTGGTTAAAAGTGACAAAATCCAGTATTGCCTAATTGCACGAGAATCCTATTGAATTAAAAGCAGATTTGGCCAAATAAGTATGTCTGTTAGTGTAATGCAGTGAACTTAAGTCAACAAATCACGTACGTGGCATGACAAATTTGAATTTAATGTGATTTTACAACCAGTTTCATGTGGTAGATCTGAAACATTTTATAGGTGTAGACATGACATTTGACTTAGGCACAGCAGGCTCTGGGTTTGAGCTCCTCTAGAAACAGTTGTTCCTCATTGACCAGTATTTTCCGGGGTAGGAAAGTGGGTTTGTCAAGAATGTTCTTGTATCGTATCAATATGTTAACAGAATTTCTGTCATTAGAATTCCTTTGTAATGACGAAATGTGTCCTTGTGCAGATAGGTGACACCGTTACTTCCATTGTAGCTTCAGTGAGGCTGTTCTGCAGAGGTGAATGGAAGACCCAGTTTCATGGTTGGGAGTTTACATTGAAATATTGTGCCCAGTTTGGTATTTGCATAATATATATATTTTTTTCCATTTTAATGCAGTTCAAGACATAGACTAATTTGAGAGAATAGAGGAGAACATACTGAATATGCAGTAATCCTGAAAACATGGCCTCTGAGGAAAGATCAAATGGTTTCATGTTGTTTATAGAGATGTAGGTGACAGAAGCTATGGAGAGGAACATGAGATATGAAATACAGAGGTTTTGACAGATCATAGCAAAGTTGTTCTTAAAACCTTTAGTATTTAGTGTTAGACTCTATGACCTCTCTGGGCTACCTTTTCCAGGTCTTTAAGTAGCCTTACCATTAGAAAGCTTTCTTAATAACAAGCTTAAATCCTCTTTACTCTTTTCTAGATGTTTTTTAAGCTTAGTACTTTCAGTCTGGTCTACTGTGGGCTTATGGAGTATTCATCACTAAAGGCTTTAAGAACAGTTGTTTTGATCATCTCACGGGAATGTTGGAGGTGTAATTGACGGTCGTAGGGTGTGGAGATGGACTAGGTAACTTCGAGAGGTTATTTTTAAAGCCGATTTTTCTGTGATTTCCAGCTGAAATTCAAAAATTTGAATATACGAATATGATTTTTTTGAATGTTTTGGCAGGACTGCTAAATAGTCACAATAGTCACTTGGTGGTTTTTGACATAATGACATTTATAAAGAGAGCATCATCATTTCCACACCAAACTGGCATTCCCTCTTTAAAGGTAATGCTTGTCTAAAGCTTTCTATATTATGGCAGTGGAATTTAACTGAATACTCTGAAAGTTCAATTATGTTATTTGTAAAGGATTTGTTACCTGGAGTAGGCAATATTACCCAGAAAGAATTTCAAATAAGGCAGCAGTACAAATTAGAGTATAACATGAAAGAGAGGCCCTTGTCATCCAGCAGCTAGCCTCAAACAATCATTCAGAGCACTTCGGGAAGTTCTTTCTTTTAAGGCAAGCAATGAGAGACTATTTTAGATCATCTGTGAGTCTTCACTCTTCACAGCACTAGTGACAAATCTTCATTTGTACAGGATTATCTTATGCCCCGATCGTGATTAACATGCAGCTACTTGACATGTAAGATGGCATTCATTCCTGGGCACCATAAAGCCGCCTTGCTGGAGCCATCTCTCGTTGACTAACGAGGTGTATTTTGTCACTAAAGGAAGAAAGGGATGGGGTGACTAGAACAACTGTGAGATTTAAAAAGTGTTTTTAGAAAGAAAAACTATCAAGAATAGAAAATTCATCAGTTTGGTGTCTGAAACGAGAAGCCTTAGACAAACTTAATTGGTAATCCAGTGTTTCCTCAGGGTCACAGCAAAACCATGACCTATAGTTGTGAATTATGTAAGAGCAGCTCTCTTTATAACAGCACTTAAGTAAACTTTTAGTGGTGTTGACTGCTGATTCACCAGGACCGTGGTCCCACGCAGAAGTGTATTGTGTGTTTAAGGTTAAGCATGTTGGCTTGCTGTGTTGAAATCAGTGG